CGGATTTTATCATTTTTAACACAAGAAATCATATTTATATCTAAAATTCGGAAGGTCATAACTTTTTCATTCCAATGCCAAATTTTAATTTCTTTATATCATTGGAAAGGTCTCGAGAAGTTCTATTCAACCATACCAAGTAGGAATCATGAAGCACAATGTGGAAGAAGTTATCATCTAATGAAATTTCTAATTTTACAAATTTCTACTCAAAAAATCATATTTAAATTTAAACTTCAGGAGGGCATAACTTTCTCATTTTAAGCCTAAATGATCTTTATATCTTGGAAAGGTCTTGAGAAGATCTATGCAACCTTACCAAATGGATAGTATGAAACTTAAAGTATAAAAAATTATCATGGGATGAAGTTCAGGATTTTATCAAGTTTCATGCCAAAAATTCATATTATCATCCAAATTTCAAAACCTCATAACTTCTCCGTTTGAAGTCCAAAATTTGATTTCTTTATATGGTTGAAAAGCTTATGAGAAGACCTTTCGAACTGTACTAATCTTACTGCATGAAAATGAATAAACAAATGGTAGTAAATTATCAAATGATATCACTAAATACCACATAATGTTTCAAAATTTTGCATACAAGATTCATAACCCAAATTGGATCATGTAATGGCATATTTAAGCATGAATTACAGCAATGAATACAACCTCATGACTCTGATACCAATGAAGGATCTCCCAGCACATCTTGACATGAATTTCGGGTCAATGAATTTACTTGAAATGATGAATTCCAAGATCTTTTTGTATGGTTGAACCACCTTATATTCCAAAGCTCCAAAATCTGCATTTTCTCGTTCTTCAATGGTCCCAATCATGATCACAATGAAATGGGATTATTATCCACAATATAAGTGCCATTTTTGTTCGATTTTATGCCAAAAATATTGTTCTAGGGACTTTCTAATTTTGGTTTGAATTTGCACCATTTTTTCATGCCTTCTTTTTGTCATCTTTTCCATAACTTCTATATGGAGGTTGTAAGGTTATTTGGGAGTGATAGATTTGAATTCCAAGTTCAAAACGCTTCCTCCAATCCTTTTAAAATCTTGTGGGTCAGACCCCCCCCCCACATGGGACAGTCCATTACCCGTATTTGCCAACAGTTGCCATGCTAGCACTGGCATGGAGCCATTGTTAGATTAGGGGTGTAATAAAACTTTTAAAGGATTTTTATGCAAACACTCACACAAACATATATCCACATAATTCCCAACATATTATATTCGATTCGTTGATGAGTAAGACTAGGTAAAATTTTCATATCAAGTCCAAAATATTCGAACCTATATATATATATATATATATATATATATATATATATATATATATAAAAGCTATGAAG